CCCCCCTCTCCCCCCTCCCCTTGGCGCGCGCGCAGAATTCTTTGTCAACCATGTCGAAAAAGCAGAACGATCCGATGACCTTCGCCATCGAGTTCATGATGGGTGGTGTCTCCGCCGCTGTCTCCAAGACCGCTGCCGCCCCCATCGAGCGTGTCAAGCTCCTCATCCAGAACCAGGATGAGCTCATCAAGCAGGGCCGCCTCGACCGCCCCTACGGTGGTGTCGTCGACTGCTTCAAGCGCGTCTCCGCCGCCGAGGGTGTCGCTTCCCTGTGGCGCGGTAACGTGGCCAACGTGCTGCGTTACTTCCCCACCCAGGCCCTGAACATCGCCTTCAAGGAGCAGATCAAGCGCATGTTCGGCTTCTCCAAGGAGCGCGACGGCTACGCCAAGTGGTTCATGGGTAACCTGGCCTCCGGTGGTATGGCTGGTGCCCTGTCCCTGCTGTTCGTCTACTCCCTGGACTACGCTCGTACCCGCCTGGCCAACGACAACAAGTCCGCCTCCAAGGGTGGCTCTCGCCAGTTCAACGGTCTCGTTGACGTCTACCGCAAGACCATCGCCTCCGATGGTATCCGTGGTCTGTACCGTGGCTTCAACATCTCTTGCGTTGGTATCATCGTCTACCGTGGTCTGTACTTCGGTCTGTACGACTCCCTCCGCCCTGCCCTCCCCGTCAACCTGCGCGACAACTTCGCCGCCACCTTCATGCTTGGCTGGGCTGTCACCATCACCGCCGGTCTGGCTTCCTACCCCCTGGATACCGTCCGTCGTCGCATGATGATGACCTCCGGTGAGGCTGTCAAGTACAAGTCCTCCTTCGACTGCTTCCAGCAGATCGTCAAGAACGACGGTGTCAAGTCCCTCTTCAAGGGTGCTGGTGCCAACATTCTCCGTGCCGTTGCTGGCGCTGGTGTCCTTGCCGGTTACGACAAGCTCCAGGTCCTCGTCTTCGGTAAGGCCTACTCCGGCGGCGGCGGCTAATGCTCTTGCATCCACTCCTCCCTCCCTCAGTGCTCTCCCTCTCTCCCCCTGCGCTCTGTGTGTGTGTGTGTGTGCGAAGCTATCCATGCCCTCCCCCACCAACCCCCCTCCCCCAGTCCTTCCCTTATACCGAGGCCGGGGACGGGGGGGTGGGCCTCGGGCCGGACTCTGGAGTTTGCGCCGGTGTGTGTGTGCGCGCGCGCGCGCGCGCGCATGCCCACTGCCTCGCTCCTTTTTCCGCCTGGCGCGCCCCCCCCCCCGTCTCATGCTACAGTCAATACATTGCTCTTGCAGTCGAACCATATTCTTGTCTTGTTCCTCCGTGTCCCTCCTTTTGTCTTCCCTCTTTCTCTTTCTCTCTCTTGTGTGCGCACGCGCACCTCTGTGTGGTGGTGCTCACTCTGTCTTGCCTTCTCCGTCTCCTCTCTCCTGCTCTCTCTCTCTCTCTCTCTCTCTCTCTCTCTCGCTACCGTGTCTGTGTCGTCCGTGTGTCCGCGTGTGACCCCACCACCTGCTCCTCTCCCCTCGCCCGTTCCCCCTTTTCGTTTGGCCCCTCGCCTTCCCGCGCCCGGGGGCCTTCTTGCCGCCTGTCCTTGGTGTGTGCCGATGCACACAGGCGAGGCCATGGTTCTCGATGTCCTCGTTTGTGGGGGGATGTGCTCCCGCCTCGCATGTTGGCGCGCGTCCTGGCGCCTTGCCATCCTCTTGTGGCCCTGCTCGCTCCTCCTTCCCCTTCTCTCAGGCGGATGGGGATACCTTGGCACATGGCCTGCGCCCCCGCATGTGCCTCCTTGTGGTGTGTGTGTGTGTGTGTGTGCGTGTGCGTGTGCAACGAGCGAGAGGGGGGCGGAGGTCCTCCTGCTCCCTCGCATATTTTATTTCCTCACATTGGCTGCTCGTCAGTCCCGAGAGACGCGGGGACCATCCCCCACGAGGGGTGGGAACCACGCCCCTAGCAGCCATCTAGGAAGTCGGGTGTGCTGGCAGCAGCAGCCGCCGCCTCCGACGAAAAGTGTACCCACTCGGCGGACGGCATGTGCCCCGACAGCGCGGACACCGCGTCGTACGGCGGAGTGGCGAACCAGACGAGCGTATTGTCCGCGCCGCTGTCGCGCCGGCACTTCTCGTCTGGCCGCGGATCGGCCCGAGGGAGGGGGAGGGGGAGAGGGAGAAGGCAAGGTCAGCAGCGGGAAGGCCCCGGGGGGG